GCGAATTTTTGTTTTGCGCGCTTGGGCTTGGACTGGAAAAGATATTTCGCGATTGAGAAAATAAAAAAGAAAATGAGAGTTTAAAAGAAAAATAGCGAAAATTTCGCATTTTTCCACAACACTAAAGTGACGTGGTACTGTCGACTCTTTGTTTATCCATACATATACACACATACATACATACATATGTCTACTTGAGCTTGCTACCAGCTGAAGGGGTGTATGAAGTAAAAGTTTATCTTTATTTCTGACGCTGCTGCTTAGCTTGTGTTAATTACATATGTTTGTTTTTTCCATTAATGTCATCTAAGTGCATACTACAAAAACAATAGCAACATTGTGTTGCACTATTTGTACAACAATAATAAGAATGTAGCGGCAGCGGAAAGCATTAGTAATAAATTAGTAGGCGTTTAAAGCGTTCGTATGTGGCGCTGAAGCTAAGGAAAAATAGGGAAATGTTGAAGGAATTGAGCGCATTGTCAGCGTTGTCTAGCTGTTAAGCAATCAATGAACTCGGGTAAATTTTTTTTTCCTCAAATATTTACACATTTTTTTAGCTTTTATTTGTCATTATGGTTGGTTTGATGTAGTGGATTTATGGGAAATATTTTAATTTTGTAAGCAGTTGTTGGCGGAAATAATTTCCAGCAGCTGTTTATAATTATTATGAAATTTAAATGTATTTATTCGACAGCAGCGCATCGAATTTGATAGAAAATAGGCTTTAAATAGGCATAAAATATAATTAAAAAATATTATCATAGAAGATGTGTGACAAATGAGTGATGATCTTATATACATATGCATATATACACAACTTATAAGGGTGAGAAAATGAGAGCAGCTATATTTCCATATATTGCTCAAGAAAAATATACAAAAGTAAGAAGGAGAAAACAAAATAATATAAATAAAATAAAATAAAAAATAATAAAGGTTAAATATAAATAAAGAAAATGAAATTAAGAAAATAAATAGTTAAGCAAAATTAATTAGAATAAATTAAATATATTATAAAAATACTAATAATGAAGAAATATTAAAATAAAAGAAAATATATTAAAAACGAAGAAGAGAACAAAATGAAATCCAATATAATAAATTAAGCAATAAAATATTATTAATTAGAACAAAATAAAAATTAAATGTTGTAAAAAAAAAATAAAAATTATAAAAAGGAAAAAATAAAATAAAAAATATATGAATTAAAAAATTAAAAGAAATTAACCAATTTACTATTCAATAAAATAAAATATTTTCAAATGAAATAAAGGAATAAAAACCAACCAACCACCAACTCACTTATTTTAAAGGCGTAGACAAAATATAATAATTATATTATAATAAATTAAATAATACAACATTATTAAATAAAATGAAACATAGCAAAAAAGTGTAGAAAAAAATTTTAAAACTTCATAAAAATGATAATGAAAAATACAGAAATAAAATATTACGAAAATAATATAAAAAATAGTATAAAAAGTGAACTTAAATAAATTAATATTAAAGAAATTGATATAAAATAATTAACACAGAATAAAAAGAATTTGATATTTATTTATTTTTTTATTTATTATTATAATAATAAAAATTAAATTAAATTAATTAATAATATGATAAAACAAAATCAAAAAAATATTTATATTTTAATAAAATAATTAGCACAACATAATTAATTAAAAACGAAAAAGAATAAAAACATAATAACAAAAATGAAGATAAAATAAAATGTAACAATGAAATGAAAAAAAATAAATAAAATATGGCGAAGAAAAGCTGACAAAGTGTATGCATTCATTTCTTTGTAAAATACGAACAGATGAAAGCAAGCCCGACGAGTGGAACCTAAGTGTGCTCTGCACAATAAAAAAAAATAGGGCGATACTACAGTATGCGCTAATTATCATGGCATAAGCCTGCGCAATATAACATATAAAGTCCTGTTGAGCATATTGTGTGAAAGACTAAAGTCCACCGTAAACAAACTGATTGGACTGATTGTGAGTTTAGACCTAGGAAATTCACCATTAACCAACCAGATATTCGCCAAATCTGGGAAAAGACACGTGAAAAGGGGGTTTTCACACATCGCTTTTTCGTCGATTTTAAAGCAGATTTCGAGATCCCGGCCATACTCATATGCTGTGTAAACTGACGTAAAGTAACATCAAAAGCTTCGTCAGCATCGTCAAGAACCCCACCGAGCTGGTCGTTGCCAAACGAGTTTTCAGAAAAGGTGATTCCTTATCATTAAACTTCTTTAATTTATTACTGGAGAAAATAATATGAACTGCAGAGCTGAGTAGAGTGGACATCATTAACCTTAACCACGGCGCAGTGAGTTGTGCCTCCTCTAGATTGAATAAGGAAGTCAAGCGTATGGGTCTGAGTGACAAATGTCATAGCATTTGACACTCGGCACCCACCTCACTTTTGACAGTCATAACTAGTAAGACGTAAGCATTAACACCAATCATAATGCCAGCCCTTGAAAACAAAGCAGAATTCCTTTTGCCAAACAGATGCTGCTTTGGACTGAATAGACAATCGGGAAGTAAAGCCCTCTCTCGACGAGCGAAGTTCAAACTGTATAAGTCGCTCATCATACTCAAATTGGCGTCAAAGAAGGAATGAATTGCACGCTCTTGTTAACTTGGTTTTAATCGCGTTGCCAGCAAAGCAGAAGGGCAAGGTTATCAAGAAACTATTCTTTTATATAAATTACAGTTAATGCCATTAAAAACTACACACTCTCAGCTTTCATTGAATATCTCACTTTGCACCAAAGCATAAGAAACAGTTTCAAAAAGCAGTCACACAGCGTAAATCGTACGCAAGTGAGTGTGAAAATAAACAAAACACTTGCCGCCCACAAGCTAGCCAATAATATTATGTAAAATCAGCATGAATTATGCAAACAAACTGTAATTGATATGCTATCAATGAGACGAAAAAAAAAGAAAAAAATAAACAAAAAATTCAAAAGTCCTTAAGACACACCTAAAAAGAGCACTTACATTGCTATGATACGCAGACCCACACGCAAGTAGGTAAGCTAAGGAAAAATAGAGGAAACAAAATCAAAAAAAAAAAAAAAAAAAAAAAAAAAAAAAAAAAAAAAAAAAAAAAAAAAAACCGGCAAACGCATAACGCACAAATGAAAACATCTATCACCGCATTATTTACACAAACACATACACCCACCAACGTGGGATTATTTTCCCTGCCGAAAGTTCATTGAAATGTTAAGCGTTAAGTAAGGCCAAGATACGCAAGATGTGCTCCTTCCGCGACAGGAGGCGGGGCTGGCTTGGCCAAACTGTGTTACGCACAATTGGAAAACGATTTTTTCCCCCCGTCATATTTTCGGCGCTAAACACTTTGTTCGAAATATTGAAAGTGTCTACTTGCTGGGCTTGGATTGTATGAGTGTGCGGCATGACCTTTTTGGTGGCGTAAATTTTTTTTCTCCAAAATTTGCCTTTTTTCATTCTTTATATTTTTTGTTTACTTTTGACTTGTACAAGCGCTTAAATTTTCCGCTAAACAAGAAAGGGCGAAAAGTGAAAGGGATTTGGCAGCGTGGTTTTTGTGGGAAAATAGAAAATTTGCAGCTGACTTGGGTTCGCTTGGGTGAAGAAGCTGGTTTTCTTCATCGAGTTTGTGTTTTGTGTTGTTATTATTATTTGTGTACTTTTCTTTGCTTTTCGTCTTGTTTCTCATACACCGATTGATAACCGTTTGCCAATTTGGTGTGGGGTTAACAAACAAAGAAAAAAAAAAGGTCATAACATTTCAATATTGACAAGGCAATTTTTACGCCTTCATTTGTGTCGAAAAGTTTGGCAATTCCGTTTATTATTTGTTTAGTTCTTGTCAATGTCTTTTAAAGCGGTTAGAGGTCATGTTTTTTGAAAAAAAAGAAGACAATTATAGAGCGTTTTTCAAACTTTTATTTGACTTGTTGTCCTTATATCTGCGGTGGGGGGTTTCAAAGGGTCATAATGTCGAGTAAATTGTTCAACTTTGATTGAATTAAGGCTGACATTGAAACCGCCTCAAATAATGTTTTTTTTTAAATGTGAGGTTTGGTGCTATAAAGAAGTATAACCGTGTTTGTGTCAATTGAAGTGGAAATGTTTAAACTGGAAATTGAATTTAACTAAATTTTTAATTCAACTGAAATTAGATTTTCTCTTTATTTTTGAAAATAATATGCAGTTTGCAAAGAATGAAGTCTTTTCTAAAGCTTTTGTGAAGAATACATATTTTTTCTAATAAATACTTCATTTAAGAACATATTATGGTTTGAAAAGTGCTGAGAGCTCAAATTTAAGAAATATTTCCACGCTGGTGCTTAATTAAAAGATTTGATCTGGTACTGTAAGTGCTTTAAAGTAGCTTTGCTTAAAAATATCGTAAAAATATTAAACATTATTTTTGTTTTCCAACACCACAGATTTTGTACTATATCTACAAAACCAGCGCAATAAATTACTTGATTGCCTTTAAAGTTTTTTGCAAGCGATAAATTGCATATGAGCATATAAAATCTGTAGTATTTTTTTGCTTTATAAGATTTGTTACTCATTAAAGTTTCAGTGTTGCGCTTGCATGCTTAAATGCAATAATTTATTTTTTCAAATTTTTGCACCATTTACTGTTTGTCTTTTAATTCGCACATATTTCACTTAAAAATTTGCTCTGAAATTGTTGAAATCCATCGCTTCTCTTTCAAAATGTTGAAAAATTGTCATTTGTATGTTTTTTTTCTAACTCACGCTGAGCATTTCGCGACTGTTTTTTACGTAACACAAATGAGTTTTATACTATAGGTGCAATAGGAAGTGCAGCCATTTTAAGGCTTTACTTCATAACAATAACCCTTAACGTTCTCAAATCATTTGCTTATTTGTAAACAACGCGTTACAAAAAAAAAAAAAAAAAAATAAAAAATAACAAAAAATTTGCTACATCTCACCAAGTTCACTTACCTCTTTGTCTTTGGCAGCTAATAATTCAGCATGATTGTTTCCTACCGCATTCGGTTTTATTGTTGCACTTCTACTGTAGCAACCAATTGTCGTTGCATCGTTTTTCCCACTCTCAACACTTTCACCGCCGTCAATTTCCATGCGCTTCACTTCCGTTGTATGTGCGGCTTCATTATCTACCTCATAATCATCATCATTATCAACATCATTTACAATGCAATCATCACCGATTGGCATTGTGGCATTCGCATTGGTCTTTCTGTTTGCTTTTGTTTTTCTTGCACAATTATTTTTATTGTTTATACTATAACTAGTTGTTGTTTTATTGCTATCGTTAGAGCTAATATTTAAGCTAGTATCATCAGTTCTTTGACCACATCGATTTTCCTCAAAATCCTTTTGATTTGTTGCTTTATTACCACGCTTGCGCGCATTCGCATTCTCATCGGCCTCTAAGTCGTGCTCAGCAGCCAGCTGCTGCTCTTCATTTGCCTCCTCTTCCCTTTGCGCCTCATCATTGTCATTGTTATCACCCTCCTCCTCCTCGTCCTCCTCATCATCATCATCACCAACTCGTGGTCGCTTCACCAATTCCATTTTTGCTGTGAGACTGGTGATCAATTTGCTTGCGTCTATCGCTGACGCACCGCGACTGCCATCCTCATCCATATCATCATCGGCATCCATATGTGGCGCGCCATGCAGTGGTGAATGCAATGGCGATTGTTGCTGTTGTACAGCAGCTGCTGCAGCAGCAGCGGCGGCAGCAGCCGCAGCTTCCATCATCATTTGTTGGGCGTGATTGAAGAACAATTTGGGATTGAGACAACCGTTGACGCCGTTCAATGCGGCGCTCAGCGGTGAAACGTTGCTATTACCACACGCAGCCGCAGCAGCAGCGGCGGCAGCAATACTGCAACCGTCCGTTGAGAGCGGTGGCGAGGGTGAGGGTGTATTCGTTGTGGTGGCGGCCAACAAGTTGCCACCGTTCTGATGTAGTGTTATCGCTGCAGCAACGCTGTTCAACAGCTTCGTATTGTTGTTGTTGTTGTTATGCGCTAAATGCGCGCTTGTAGGACTATGAAAGCCTGAAGCAGCGACAGCAGCAGCAGCCGCGGCGGCAACGCTGCTATAAGCGGCGCTGTCGGGTGAAAGCAGTTTGTTGCTTGGTGGGTTTGTTGTGTTGGAGGTGATGGTGCTGGTGGTAGTTGTGTTGCTGCTGGTGTTGTTAGAGGTGTTTGTGTTGTTGGCGTTGCACTCTGTTGTTGTGTTGGCGCCAAGTGCGGCTGCGGCCGCGTTACTGAACTCGTCTATGTCGGCCGGTATGTCGGTGGCTGGTGTGTTGCTGGTGGTGGTGGTGGTGGTGGTGTCTGTGTTGGTGGTTAATTGATCTTTTAAGGTGTCAACTTCCTTATCCTCCAAGTTAGCGCGCTGCAAAGATATTAAGATAAATGAGGAGGTGAGTTATTATTATTTAAAATACTGCTCAAAAATAAAATTTTATTTATATTAAAAAAAATATAATAACAATAATAAAAATTAGTTTGATAAAAACAAAAACAGAATGATTATGGTGAAAAATAAACCGTAGTCAAGAAGAACTTATTTCTTAAGTCTGTCATAAAATTTGTTTAGGAACTCAAATTGCAACTGTGGAAGAACTGTGCCAGAGTTTCAGAACACTTGCTTAATACAACAGATCTTTCAAACAGTGAAAGAGTATTAAATATAATCTAAAAAATGTTCTGCCAAACAGCTGAAGATTGAAATTGACAACTATGTTGAAAACAGCTAGATAAATAGATATTGACTAGAAGTGCGCTTTCTGGGATCCCTCTGAGCCTCAGCATAATTTCAGATCATGCGATTTATATAAAAAAATATGAACGGCTTACCGATCTACAATCTTTGCGCTTAGGAATGCATTTTGAAGCTTTGAAATACCCTTACACTAACTGTGTAGAAAAAACCAAAAAATGAGAGGCTCACAACAAGCAAACTCAGTTGTAAGCTTATCCTAAGAACTGTGTGTTGGTTTCCAAACCATGGATTCATAAAAAAATAAATGAAAAATAATCGTAATGCCTTAAAAACACATAAGCCGAGTTTTCCAAAGTCACCTGAAACTCACAAATGGCTCCAGTAACAACGACGCTAAACCCAACAGATTGAAGGCTCAAAATAGACACACCTCAAAATCTCTGTAATATTTTCCAAATCTTTTGTGTTTACAAAATAAATTTTATGACATAAAAAACAATCAGCTTCAAGCTTAACAAAACAGTATTAAACAATATAATATCGTTAGTAACAGCAACGCAAAAGCCAACGAATGAGTGGCTCAAAAGTGGGTTGGTGCAGCAGCGATTACACCACAGGAATTATGTGATATTTTCAAAACGCTTCGTGTGTTAAAAATATTTTTAATATCATTAAAATATGTAAACTTTAGGGTTTTTAAAACACCCTTAAACAATAAAATGTCATTAGTAACAGCGAAGAAAAAGCCAATGAACTAATCGATCAATACGAACAATGCATGGCAGTATGTGGCGCTCTAAATTTAACTTCACCCTCTCTCTCTTTCTCTCTCTGTCACCTTCTACAACTCTCAAATAACTTGCACAATTAGTTGTATTTCTATTTTATTTATACCATTTTTTGGTTGTTGTTGCTGATATAATCGAAAGCTTATTGCTTCCGGTAAACAAACGTCAGCCAACATAACTTAAAGCAAAGTTAGGCAAACCGAATCAAAACAAAATAAAATGAAATGAAATATTTGTAAGGCACATTATAAAAACTAAAACAACAAATAAATTTTACTTAACTTGCATTATTTGCCAGTGCCAATAACACTTTTCAGACGCCATAAGGGTTTCCTCTCTTTTTTTATTGTGATGTTTCTGAGAGTGGGTAATATTTTTGGGCAGACTAATTTGCCAAACATTTAAGTAAAGCTAAGGGTTTATTGCGATAGTTAGCTCGATAACACATCACACACATACTCATACACACAAACTTTTGGGGTAAGCAGAAAATAGTTTTTCGAACTCTTCGGTTTTTTGGCAATTTAGCCAAATTTTATAGTTAAGCTTATCGATACAAACGATAAACTATAAATTTTGGGAGCATTTTTTGTGCACTCCAAAGTGGTTGGGTGCAATTTTGTGGATATACCTTCTTGCTCTGTATATGGGTATAGCTTTATTAAGTAGTAGAAATTTATTGTTAGAAATTTTGTGTGCTCTTCTGCTGGCACTTTTTGTCTTTTCTTTTTTTTTCGTTTTTGTTTTGCTACAAGCAAAAGTTGCAACGTATTAATTTGGCCAAATTTAACCCGTAATGACTTTAAAAGTAAAATTAATGAGGGTTCGCTCTGGAATTGGCTATACACGACGCTGAGTGTTGGTTGAGCGTGAGTGGAGGTAAGTAAAACGAACTAAATTGAGAAGGCGAGTAAAATGTGTCTGTATTATGACACTAAAAACTCAAGTCAGAGTACTATTGGTGGGCGTGAAACTCGTTCTCTTGGGTTCATTAGTACTTTATTCTTTCTTTGCCAGCCTGAAACTATGCTACGCTTATGAGAATTTATTGTGAAATTCATAAATTTTGTGTACACTTAAATCCACAACCTGGTCAGACCAAACTAATGCTCAATTCAATATTTAAAAAATCTCATATCGACAATTTTGTTGTTGTAAATGATTTTTGTGTTTTTTTGGGTTTGATTTCAGCTTTGCGATTACCGGAAGTGGCCAAACAACACAAAAGTCATTAGAAGTAAATTTCTGTTGTTGTACTATATGTAGTACCAACCCTTTTGGTGCGCTTAAAGTTTTTTTTACATAACCTTTATTTGTTGGTTTGAGTGCATAGATTTATATTTGGCGCAATTTGTCGGAATAGTTTAGCAGCCTTTTCGCAACTATTTTAAGCCAAAAGTCAAAACAATAAAACAAGTATTTGTATGGCTATTTGTTGGACAGATTGAGAGTACAATGAAAGAAAATGAAAACTAAATGGAATTAAAATAAAATATATTAAATGAAAAATAATGAAACAAAATAAAATAACATATAAATAAAATAATATGAAATGAAAAAATAATAATTTAAATTAAATTAAATATAAATAAAATAGAATAAAAAATGAAATAAAATTTAGGTAAATAATATAAAAACAATTAATGAAGTAAATTAAATAAAATTGAATTTAAAAAAATTAATTAAAATATCTTAAATAATATAAATTAATATAATAAAAACGATTAAATACAAATAAAATTTAATTAAAGAAATAAAAAAATTAATAAAATTAAATATAGAAAAATAAATTAAAATAGTTTTATATTAAAACCAAATAAAAGAAAATTAACTCAAATTTAAAACATTAAATATTATTAAATATAAATAAAGTAGAATAAAACAAAATAAAATAAAAAAAATAAATAAAATTGGGTTTAATATAAATATAAAACCATAAAAAAAAATTAAATTAATTGTAAGCAAAATATAATCATTTAAGATCGAATAAAATACATTACTATAAATATAAATTAAACATAAATAACATACAATCATATAAAAAAATAAATTAAAGTAACACAAAATATATTATATTTGAATAAAATAAAATAGAATAAAACCAAATTAAATGGAATAAAATAAAATTATGTTCAATAAAAAAAAGTAAATCAATTGAATTAAATATAAACAAAATAAAATCATTTAAAATCAAATAAAATGAGATTAAATATATAGAAAATAAAATCATATAAAAAATGAAATAAATTAAACTAAAATAAAATAATACAAAATAAAATAAATTTGAATAAAATAAAATAGAATAAAACAAAATTAAAAAGATTAAAATAAAATAAAATTAGGTCAAATATAAATACAAAACCATAAAAATAAAACAAAATCAACTTAATTCAATAATAAACATAATAAAATCATTTAAAACCAAGTAAAATATATTAAAATAAATATAAGTTAAACATAAATAACATAAAATCACATATAAAAAGAAATAAATTAAACTAAATTAAAATAACACGAAATAAATTAAATTTGAATAAAATAAAATAAGTAAAGAAAGTAAAGATAGAAATAATCTAAAATAAATAAAAAATAAAATTAAATGAAATTAAACTAGATATAAAAAAATTAATAAAAAGATATTTAAAATAAATGTAAAAAAATAAAAAAAAATTAAATATGAATTAAATTAATATTTTTAAATAAAAGTAAATAAAACATAATAAAATTACTAAAAAATATAGTATTTAATTAATGCTTTGCTTCTGAAATTTTAATCCTCTAAATTTTCTATGATTTAACAAAATTCTTTGCGCTTTATTCCTTCCTCCCTTATTAATTTTATTCCACGAAAATCCATTCAGCAAACCCGCATCATTTATTTCGTGGTCGAACTTGTAATCTGCTGATTAAACAATATCGACTTTGAGCAATGACAATGTTGAACAGAGTTAATTCCAAACAAAAAAAAAAAAAAAAAAAAAAAAAAAAAAAAAAAAAAAATAAAAAAAAGTGGCGCCGAAAGGATCAAGCCAAAACAACTGCAACCGAACACATTTCGCCTATGAGAAAGCACATTTCTTCGCTCTACTGAGACTGCCATGCAATGCATAACTACTTCAGGCTATTTTCCCAGGAATGTGTTGGCCAACAAAAGAAAAAGAAAAAAAGAAAACCACGACAAAATCTTTGAAAATTTAAACGAGCCAAAGGACGACATGCATGAGGACAAATAGCAAAAGAAATTGTTGCGCTTGAAGTAGAAGCAACGAAGAGGAAGTCAACGAAGTTGCTGTTGATGGAGGTATGACACAAAAATGTGGAGCAAGTGGCACATGGTAGTAGATGACCGAGTTGAGTTCAGAGCGGAAGAAAAGGAAAGTAGAGAATGAATTTTGTGGATTAAGCGCATTTGGTAGTGTAGCGTTTCTTTTTGTTTCTAGTCCGCAAGATAGTTGAGACAGTTGAGTGTGTTCCACTGCGCAATTTTCAAGATTTGACGTGTGGAGCGTTTTTTTTTTAGAACTCAGGATGCTCGCATCGGCCAGCTGTCGTCGTTATATTGGTTTTGTGGTATTAAAAATCCATTTGCGCGCAAATAGTATGGAGTACAGCCGGTGTAAGCGAAGTAATGCCTGCCGGCGGACGAAATAAGTAGTGAAAGACGAGAATTGTCAATGATGTTTGACTACAAAATATTTTCAGCAGTTTTGGTTGTTGCTACTTTGAAATAGCAATAGTTGACGGTTGACGACGACGAAAATGTTGCTGACGATGATGATGATGATGGTGATGATGACGACGCGCACGATATGACAACTACAACAGACTTTTCACATTGTTGATGCTTTGACAGGATATGGAAGGATTTTACATTTGGTCATA